CTAGTAACTGGCCATTCACTGGGATAATATTCAGGGACGACACACACACACACACACACACACACACACACACACACACACACACACCATATGTTCATATTATGTTCACTTTCATCACAGTGGCAGTGAAGTTGCTTCCACCCTAGTAATCACCCACCCCAGAATTTATTATTTAATCCATATATCTTTAAATTACCTTTCAAATGACTAGTGATAGCTATCCAAACATTTTATCTTGTTTTGGCCTAATTAAAATCCCATGACTAGAAATGTGCCTTATCCATCAACAGGTTGATGAGCTTCTGTTTGCTCCAGATTATTTTATCATTAGAACTAAAGTATTTGAGTTTTTATCTTCAAATGCCTATCACCTTGCTGGTGCAATCCATATAATACTAACAATAATAAATAGTTGAATTTAAGGAATCAGTGTTATCTCTGGTATTATTTTTTGTGGATCACCTGCAAAAAATACAGCATCATCTGCATTTAGCTCTGTAAGCTCTTACCCTCCCATTTGATCGTATCAATTGATCATAGTATTAGAGAAAATGGATTTTATAGCAAAGTCAAATAACAGGGGAGAGAGAGGGCACCTGTGATATCTTCCTTTATGAATTAAAAAAAGCTTAAGTAATAGATCCTTAATAATAGCCAACGTCTCCAAATCTTATCCATCTGCACCAACTATTGCTAAATCCCAATTCAGCAAGGGTGTGAGAGAGGGTAAACCCCAGTGTCCACTTTCTCAGTGATGGCAGACATCTGATCATTTTTAAATTTAATTTTTTACACAAAATGTATTACTCCAATAAAGAATCTGAAATTATTATTTGAGGATCTCATTTTGAAAATCCCAGTTTTGACAAGACTATTACCAGATAAAATATTTAAGCCTTATTGCCAATATTTTTTGCTAATATTTTGTACTTGGCATGAATCATTGAAATAAGCTTGTAATTGTTGCAATTTTCCATGTCTCCTCTTGGCTTCAGAATAAAAAGTTCTAATCGCGCTCTTAAGAACTTCTTGCAATTCATCATTCACATATGCTGTGCTAAATAGCATAATACATAAAACTTAACCCAGATACTCTTTACTTTTTAAAAAGAGATTAAAATTCTGCAGGGGATGTAACAAATCCCAATGTTTAACCAGATCTAAGAGTCAGTTGCTTCCAGGGCTTCTGCTGTATGAAATGTTCTTTCTAATTTCTCCTTTTGTTGGCTAGTGTTTTGGGGAGCTTGTTTAAAATTATTACCTATCAAGGTCTCCGTAGGAAGATTATTTATCATAAAGCACAAAGTATTTCTGATAGGTGAAAATAATTTTTGATAAATTAAGACTTCAAATACGTAACACTATAACACATTTAACTTTTACAAAGATAGAGTTCAGTCAATCCTATATAATGAATCAACCCTAGTCAGACAATCGTACACACAAACCTACGTGTCTCTGCTTCATCTCAGGCTTTCTGCTTCTAACACATGCCCACAATTGCAACCAGCAAGTCCCTCAGGCCATAGTTTAGTTCTGATCAGGCCTCTCCTGGTACTTTGGGCAGTAGCCTTTGTTGTTTCCAATTGCCTTACTACATAAAAAGGGGCTTAATTTTACCTTCCACTGAGCCTGACAAAAGTGCTTTAGCACACCCACTGACTTTAACAAGGTCTGTGATTGTCTTTGAATCAAAGACTCACTTGATGGCAGCCATTAGCACCTTCCAGCATAACAACAGACAATCATTTCCTATTTTATTTCCCTGGTTTTTTTCCTCCCTGCTGCTTTTAAATAATTATTTTGGCTAGAGATGTCCTGAATTCAGAAATGGCTCTACACACTGTGTAGGATCCTGCATATAGTAACATGCGGAGCCTTGCCCCATCCAGCTTCCACCCCTTTTATGACTGAGTTCCCCCTCCCTCTACATACTCCTGATCAGGGCTGGATTTACGGGCAGGCAACCCAGGCGATTTGTCAGGGACACTTGGCTCAGGGCGCTGTTTTTTGTTGTTAGCGACAAAAGAGAAAATAGAATGTTTGAAGTAACATGTTTCAGGTATTCTGTATGTGGCTTCATTTTTCACTAACCTCCTAGAATGTCCTGTACCTTTGTAGAATCTTGTGGAACCTTCCAGACTTTCTGAAAACTACATTTCCCTTGAACCTCCTAGAATGTTGTCAGCCATACCCTGGTAGGCTATATAAGATGTGGGACATTGCCAGTCAGTCAGT